TTATGTCTTGATGAAGAAATTTCGTTGAATATGCAAAAAATTGGACTTATGTTCACATAGAAGCGCTTCCACAAGATATCAACTGAGCCAGCAGATTCATGCGCTTCTCGTTTTAGCTGCTTCTCGGCTTTAATTATATACCAAAACCTTTTGGAAGTTTTATCCGGTTTGGGCATGGTGACACTACAGGACGCTTATTCAACGAGCCGCACATCTCAAGGTCAACTTTCGAAGATCAACTTGTGTCTTTCTTGGACTATGTTTTCAGTTCTTCCAGTATTGGAGATAATGCGTGAGTATTTTGTAGCCTAATAATTTAGCAATTTATGAAAGTTAGAATATTTTAAATAATTTGCTTATTTACTGTGCACTGAATGAAAGAGAATAGAAATTTAGCATACGTGTGCTCAACCTAATAGAAACTCTCATGGGACACGAATCATCTATTAAAAATAATGAACACCCCTGCTACTTTGCCCAAAATATTTTCTAAATCAGAGCTGTAACTTTCGAACTACTGCAATTTTATAACGACACTCAAGGTCGCGCACATTCAAATGGTGATAGAAATGAACTAAGAACGTAGATGTTGGAGGTAAAGTCAGGAATAAATACACTGTACTCATAACCATCTATATATAAGTGTGCTATTGCAAGCTGAAATGGGTTTTCAAAATGAGGGTGATGTTGCACGAGTTTGGTCAACACCTGTAGACATCTATTGGTTTTATCAACCAATGTTCATCTAAGAGGGCATCCGCTGAAGTTGGCACTCCAAAGGAGTCGTCTCGACTGCAGACGCCATTCGTTTGCAGCACATGGAACTCTCTACCACCTCACGTGGTCTGTGCCCCAACATTAGTATCTTTCAGGCGTCAGCTTGATGATACTCTGGCAAACATTATGTTTCAACACCCAACTGCATAATATATTCTCCTGTGCTTGTCAAAAACATTACACTACTATTTTACTTTCATGGACTAACTGTGATCTTGTGAATCGTGTTCCGAACCAAAGTGTAAACACCCTATGGGATTTGATAAGCGAAGTCTTTGTCAGTTTTTCCCATAATAAAAATTCGAATTGGAATTTGAAACAGACCACGTCAACAATACGTGTAAGCAAGACAGATGAGATATCGATGACTAATTTCAATGGGGCATGAAAAAACAAACAAAAAAAAATGGGGCTAAATCAGCTCCACCTAAGTCGTACCGGAAAATTCGTTGACAGTCGCATCCCCGGCAATCAGACTGGACCATCGTTCCAATTCGACACTTAATAGGATCAATTCCAAACTGACCGGAAGACAGCTCGCGTACGATTCGAGTTGCGATCCACGCAGCATTGCGGGATCCGAGAACACGTCTAAACTGGGCAGTCGTATCCCACTCGGTTCGGCCGGTGCACGTGGTCCAGCACGAGGACCACAACTGATCTGATCCACAAGCGTATTGGCGGCTAATTCACCCACTTGACCGCTGAAACTGTTCAGCTGATGAGCGAACTGAGCCAGGAACAACGGACAGAGTAGGCCACGCAGTGAGGCCGCGTTGGACAACGAGAATGGGAACACACTGCGAATCAGGAGTGTGGAGGATTGGAAAAAAGACACAACGAACGATGTCAAGAGTTGAAGCAACAGAAACCGAGCCTTCCATTTTTAACGAAGAAAATCATTACCAACTACTTGTGGTTGAGTGAGTGAGTGTCAACAAAAATCCAATATGAAGATAACCGGAAATGACTTATCCTCGTTTAGGAAGCACTTTGCTGCTGATCTATGGGGAAAATCTATTTCAGGCATTGTATGAAGTTGTTCCGTACTATAAAAAGATAATAAATGGGTCATCTACAATACACACTCACCAGTGATTTATCATGTCGGCGAGCAAAGCTGTTACAAAAGATGGAATCCTTTGAATGCCCCAAACAATTGTCAGCTTGGTTACCCAACTATTTTACTGATATAGAACAAACCACTAGGTTGGAGAAAGCTTGATTAAAAACCTTAGTCAACAACTATTCAAGGATCTGTACTATCCTCACACTTATTTTCCCCGTATATTTGTGATATGCTTAGTGTTTCTCTTGCACGTATTTTGAAATACGCATATGCTGCACCAACTCATTTATTCTTCCTCCGATCTAATCTCCTTTACCGACAATACTGGACAAATTCACTCATTCTCTACTTCCTGATCGGGGCTAAACTTAAACCCTAATAAATGTGTTGAATGTTTCCATAGTTTTGCACGCTCTTCTTACCTGACAAATCCCTCGCTGATAATTAACAATCCCTTATTTGGATTGAACTCCGCCACATATCTTGGTGTAATTACAGATGGTGATTTTCGTTGGTCAACCCACATTCACAACCGCATTGGTAAACTGCGGTTCTTATCATTTCAAATTAAAAGCTCAGGCAATTTCGTGCACCCTGGTCAGTATCACTGTGTTTTCCCCCTGGCTCACTCAAACAGAATTTCTAAGTCTTACATCGCAGTCTAACTATTACTAGCCGGGTTTCTTCTATTCCTGTGAATGAGTTATCTGTGAAACTTTCGGATTATTACGGAACTTCCAAGACGAAATTTGTGGAGAGAATTCTCACAGATCTCGAGCACCTGTTGCATGCAGAATTGACACGCTATCATTCCCATCGCTCTACATACTTTTGCTTCCGTCAATTTTTATCTCCAATAGACGCTCAGCGAAATTCACCTTAAATCCTTTCTTGCACGTTTACTCCCAAGCAAAAAGAGGATAACAAGTGAAATGTGTCCCAACCTTGGATTCTGAAATGCCCCTCACCAGCCCATACTGTTTGTAAACATTTGCTTCCCCGTTGAATATGTTCTCTGTGACGATGCTTGCAAAATGTATACATAATACAAGACAATGCTGATGCCGATCATTCTTTAAGAGAGATGAAATGCAAAACACTAGACGCTCGTGAGAAAAAAACCAGTAGTACGTACGGGTTAAACGAGTGCCTCAATTTCAACTCCCTCATTGATTTGTTGCGTCAGGAGGGCCAAAACACGGGATGAGAATGTGGTGACGAGACTTTCGACGACATTCTTTTTAACCGAGACGATTGAGAGAATTCTGTAAACAAGCCACACATGTCTCATTCGCACATCTGCGGATGATCAATGAGGAGTGAATACACATAATGACTATACAGATCAAATCTTCAGGTACTCGAACACTGTTACATCCGAAAGAGCACAATCGTCATACTCTCGGGAATCAGAGCCAATTGGTAGGACAGCTTCGTATAAATTTATTCTTACATGTCAAACGTCTAAAAACACTTAAGTGATAAATATTCGATGAGTTTTCTCTCGCTTTCATTGTTTTGCCTAAACTTTGCAACCAACGATGTTATTAAAAAAGAGTCAGCCAGTCTTGATACGCGGAGCTTCAGTGCCTTTCGGGAAAGACCGTTCGTGACTTCGAATTCTCATGTAGAATCTCCAAACACAAATGAGCGCAACAGTTATTGTCCGATTATCCGGTGATTGATATAACTCGTTGCGGGATGTTTTTGGCCTTCGAAGTGCAAAGAACTCAATCAAGACGGAGAGAAGCCTGTGCTAGCTGTTATTCTGACTGGTGAAAAGTTAGAAATCGTCACTGACTTTATTCATCTCGGTGACTGTAACATACCTGACGAAGGATTGGTCAAGGAGACCTCTGGGAAATTGTGTTAAGCCCGGATGGCCTCCCTTGGTTTGAAGCATTTGCGGGACAAGCAGAAGAATTTAAGTGTACAACATAACTGTGGGTTTGAGACCCTAAACCTGGCCAGTTTGTACATGGGATGCTCGTCGATTTGATGTGTTCGATAACCGTTGTTTCCGCACCATTCCTCGCGCGTCGTGGGAGAAACAACGGAACAATGATCAAATGTGAGAAAGACTGCTAGGTCCATGAAAGTAGAATTTCACTCAACCATGTGCAACCACTTGCGCACAGGTTTTTCGAATGCCTAACTAAGTAGTTACCACCCTGCTAACCGTTCTAATGCACTGGGCAGGGATGAAAAAAGCTTGAAGAAGTTAAACCAAAAGAGTGTAAGAAATTGACGGGAACTCTCGCGGTAGGTTTGTCTCGATGACCGGATTGCGGGAAGTTGACTGCTTGAATAGCATTTGTGTTGTCTTGATTCCTTAAACGCCGTAATATATATACTACTTATTATCAAATATTCAACCAAGCCCATCAGGTCACGTTTGTTGCGGTTAGTATCATCTAACCCACTTACAAAACATCGAATCATAGTATTGATTCTTCATTGGACTGGCTGTGAAAGAGCTGTCTATCCAATGGCCACCCGGAGATGTAAACAAGGTTATTGTCACGAAAATACACTTCCTGGGTACAAGGATATGAATGAACTCACAAAAGATTACCGGCTAGGCATGTCTGACAAGCGGCAAGAACCGCGAAACCGGTCGTGTGCTTCCAGGGAAACTTTGTCCAGTCTTTCACATACTACTTATTATCATCTTGAAGCTTAAACGCGGTTGACTTCAATCAGACCACTCCAAAGTCCCACATTTAGCGTGTCATACGATAGACGTCTGACTCTGATTTCACTGTTCGTCCCCCCCCCCNCCCCCCTTTCGAAAATTCGATTGATTGGAAAGGTGGTAAACAATCAGTAATATGTGAAACACCCTTTTCCCTTTATCCATTTCATCAAAATCCGAAGATATATGCCCACATATGTCTTCTGATGTTGATAGAATCAGTAATATTATTCGGTGAGAACCGACAATTTCAACACAAATGAAATTGTATCCCGCAAAATAGTTAACTCATTCAGTCTATTATTACTGTCAATGGTTGACGGGATTGCCACAGAAATAGGGATTTCAATCCTTTGAACAACCTCAAAAGTAAAAGAAGCATTACGGTGTATTTTGTGATCGCGAATTGCATCAAGCCCATTCAAGTTAAGTCATGAGCAGCAATTCATTCGCTTTTTATTCATTCAGTTATTTAATAATTGAGCTCAAAAATCATTCTCCGGGACAAGGCATAAACGCTCACTACCGTGCAGTTGTTTATTGGTCATTGATATGTATCACTGTTGATGGATCCACAGTGAATCCGTCAAATCGGATATCATTTGTTTATTGCATTTGGGTGTAGTCCCGTTCCTAACAGATACCTCTGAACGATCTATCAATACCCACTCAAATTGGATACCACGCCTAACCGAGAGGGGTATTGTGTGGTTCGCCACTCTCCAAATCCCGGACCTTAGATTTCCAGTTTCCATCACTGAACCGTAACGCTTTGTGACAAGCGTGAGTGTAATAGAAATAAAAATCATTCTCATTCAATTACAACTGCTAGTCAGAACTAATGAAATATTCTGAAAAATAGCAGCGATAACGTCAACTCCGTTCAGTTCGAACAGAGGCGGGGGGGGGGCGAGGGACGAGGGGGGAGGAAATTCAGATCAAGCATAATCAAGTGAGATTAAAATTTTGTGTTGAAAAACAACACATCGTGATGAGACTTTTCCGATAACCATAAGCCTACGGGCAGCAGAGTACCAAATGACATCACAAATCGTCCGTTGAACGGAAATTGAGTTAAGATGGACAGATACAAAAATCCAGTTGCGAAACGCATTTCACCCAACTCACCATCGTTCCAACGCAACACGGGATGGCAGTAGGTACGTCAACTGACTTGGAAAAACAAACTCCCGTGGGAATGTATCCACAGCGCGATGTTCTTGCATTACTTGAGCCCAAATGGTGAACAACTGTTCCAACAGCGGATGTCTGTGGCGTTGTCGAAGAGCTGCGAAAGCCGCCAGACCACCAACCGAAAGCGCCAAAAAGCGTCGAGCACAAATCCGGTCACTGATGCCCACCGCTTTGGGTTCCGGGGCAGACCACCGCGTTTTAGCACGAGCGGCCGGTTGATCCGAACGAATACTGGCTCTTAACTGATCCAAACGTGTCAGAAGACTGAGCAAACTTGGCAAGGAAGTCGGCAGGCACTGAAATGCAAGTAAAGTAAGACAGTATGCCAGACTTGTTTGACCCAGTTGAATTGTGCTTCCCGGTTTACGTTCCGTTTACTCTGTCTGTGCATGGTGAGTTTCCTTTTCACATGAATCTTCTAAAGCAGCAAAGCTGCCGAGCCGAATTGGTATATTGCGGAATATCTCGGTTGCATTAAGTGGCTTTCATCAGGAGGATACAACTCGAAATCGATCATAGGCATACTCAGACACACACACACAGATGTTTCCGACCGCATACAGGCATCCACACACGAACATACACATGCACACGACACGTCAAACACCCACAATGACCTGCAGTTTATGTTTCCTTTTTTCGTTTTAATTCGGATCATGTTCGGACAATAAGTGATAGCTTGCGCGCCTTTATGAACCAGTGATTTCGGTGTAATCGTTTCTTACAACTACTGGTTCGACCATAATCGAAAAGTTAATACATGCAGACCGGACAAAGTTTAACCTCAAAAAGCCAGCTGCTTGGACATTCCCTCACTGTCGTTGATCGTCAAATTTCGCCCACTGAAGAGGAGGGCACTGCAGCGAAAAAAGAACGCGGTGAGGAATAGCTTACCGGCCAGAAAATCTAGCTAGATCGACGTAGGAGAGCAGTAGCTGGGGCATCTATCCGACCGCGAGAGAAGTATTCGTCGAACTATGCGCCCAGACACGCATTTAGAATACGATTTCAGGTGAACAATTGTTTTCAACAACTTATAATTATGCCGTTACAATTTCTACAGGAGGATAACATTAAAACATGAGTAATGGACCACCATGTGTATGTGTGTGTTGCACATCGCATTTTAAGTTCCATGCTTCCGGGGTTTCGTACTTCAACTGACAGCCACCACCCACCCAAACAAAACGACCTTCAGCAGGATAATGTCTTGTGTGTCTCATTTAGTGTATGAAGCTAAGCGCCGAAAATGAATGCCGGACCAATAAACGAGGCAAGAGCGAACAAAACATAAAACTGAAATTTTAAGACCTTACCAGACAGGTTTCTAGAAGCTCCCATACAAATGGTCTGGTCACATTCCCTCGTTGAACCTACAACGGGAAATGTTCTTTTCATTACACACTGCTGTGTGACGGACAACAGATGGGGTAAACCCCATAGTCACGAGGACCTGTTGTTCAGTGATGGAAACCGGTAAACTAAGCTCCGGGACTTGGAGTGGACAACCACATAAGGCCCCGATAGGTTAGGCGTAGTATTGAACCGGGCGACAGCAGAGCTGCCTACCACTAAAGTTGGATGGCGGTGGCGGGGCCGAACCTCGGACCACAGGGTACAAAGCATACCGGTGACAGCGACCAAACCACTGTGCCACGACTGCCACAACAACTTTTGAATCATGGGATCTCGTTTCTGTGAACAAGGAAAAAACCTCTATGCGGGCGGTTATGGTGGTAGGCAGCTTTGCTATTGTCCGATTCAATACTACGCCTAGCCTATCGGGGCCTTATGTGATTCACCACTCCAAGTCCCGAAGCTTAGGTGACCGGTTTCCATCACTGATCAGCAGGTCCTACTGATTACGGGGTTTACCCCGTCTGCTGTTTATCACACAAAAGTGTGTAATAAAAAAACAGTGAAGTGTCGGAACTATTTGACAATTATGCAGCTATCTCATGCTTCAGGCTTCTGAAATGTTACTCTTTACAGCTATCCATGCGCTGCGATCTGCGGCAAGGTCTGTGTAGCGTGAAATATAGTTGCAACGCAAGTCAGGCATTGTGAAAACCAACCAGAGACTTAGAGTATCAACATACGATTAGAGTGTACCAATCCAGGTCTTCAGTTGGTCTTGAAGGCGAAATTTCCAATTCGGACAAGGTTTCCGGGGGAGGAGGGGGAGGAAGCACCGAACTATTGAAACCGGACGTCGGAGAAACAATGTGAGCTTCTCTGTGTGTACAATGCTGACGGAGTGTGGAATTTGAAGCGTGGTCATACAACTTGATTTTAAATATATATATATATATATATATATCGGAGACACCAGTGGTTGAAACCTTCCATTTCCTTTGTGTCATCCAGTCTCACTGGTCACGTCACCTCAACTTTTGCCTAACGGTTTAAAGTTTCTTCTGAAATCTATCCCTTACTGACGAGATGTTTTACTCAGTGGTTTAAGGGCGTCTCCTGTGATAGATACATATATTGCTGTCCACCGCACATCTCTACTACTGGGATCTTGATCAGTTTAAAGGTTAAAAAGTCTGATAAAGCTTGGACGTTGTCTGAAAAATTCAGCTAAGAAATACCGACTCTGCCTTGGGGGTGAAATTTCGGCCACGTTGAGAGATGAATTTTGAGATAGGCACGTTCCAGTGCCATTGGTATTTTTCGTCACTATGAAGCGAGACGCTCGACAGTTCTCAACTGCGAGAACGTATCAATCCGCAATCAATTTGATGTGTTGTCCTGCAGTCAGTGGAATGCCAAATTAGTCGGTGCTTTTTGGGGTGTTAAAGGTTACTGGTCGTATCGATGAGCCGGTTGGATTCTGCAAATTAAACCACACGATTAGTATTGTGGAATCTTTTTCCGATAACGAATTTTTCCTATCGGTATCACGTATGCTCGTTCGTGGGGCCCACACACCGGTATTCTAGTCCCCGGGTTCGAATGACTAAATTCTGTTGTTAAAGTTGTCTCTGATATTTTATTCAACACTGGGTGGAAACTGAAATCGTCGCCATGTTAAACAGTGTTCCCTGACACCGAGCTGTGACAATCTTGGGCAATATTGGTTCTCAAAAGCAATATATGTTCGACTATTCATTGTTGCTGCAACCCCATTGAAGGCAGATTGTTTAGTGGCCCACTAGACGAGACTGCACTCTGACGTGGCGTGATGGTTTGCGTGTCTCCATGACCCTGTGAGCTACACAGGATGGCTTTTCATAGCTGTAGATCCAATCATGCCTGGAAGGTCAACGGGTAGAGGCCAAACAAAGCTCAGTCTCACCAGGCCGGCTGCTTGGGCACCTACTGGCTTCCTTCCTTCT